GACTGTTTCCGAGAGTTGGATGTTGTTGAGTTTCACTGTTTTCCTTAACGCGAAGCTTAAATGTACTGTTTTACTTTCGTTCAGTTTTAGTTGATTTCTATCACACCAAGAAATCATGTCATCCATGACTGAATTAATGTTGTTTTCTAGCTCCTCCGCAGTTTTTCCTGAAACTGCTATGGTACTGTCTTCTGCGAATAGTATAATGAAATCTTGTTTTATATACTTCGGAAGATCATTTATATAGATAAGTATTCATGCATTAATTTCATCATCCCAAATTTCAATTTTTTGAGTTGACCCGTTCAAAAAATGAAAGGGGGGGAGGGGCATTGAAGAAATGCACTTTATATCACAGAGAGCTCCCGCCCTTACCAACAAAAAATGGCAGGACTAAATTTTTTTCTGTCCACAGTCTGGCCACATTCCTCTTGAGTAAAGAAATATGCGACATCGAGAAAAAAGGTATCAAGGAGATCACTGAAAGTATTGGATATTCTTCAAACATAGTGGATAAGTCAATTAGGAAGAGAAAAATTCAGAGTATCTTCAAAAATCCTCGACTTTTCAGAAAGACTAAGATTCAAAATGTATAGTTTTTCCATGCAAACCAAAATACGCTAATGGATTGGTTAATGGTTAATTGATTAATGGATTGGTTAAAGTTTTTGAAACATTTACAAACACATATGGATCGTGAAAATCACTGTTTTTAGCTCTATCGAGTTAATGAATACCCTATTTCAGTTTTTCCCAAATATCCAACAAGTACAGACAACGATGAGCTTCACTTTTATAGAATCCATGTTAATAATCAAACAATTACCAAATTATTTTTATCAGTTGTGCTGGTATAACAAACTATTCTGCAATGTTTTTTATATAATAGTAGATTATTACATTTTATCATACTCCTTTATACATTGACATGTTCTACACCCGCAAGGGTCTTTGTACCAAAGAACTAATAAAGATAATCTATCTATCTATCTATCTATCTATAATAGTAGATAATTACAAAACTTAATGAGATAAATGGTCAATACTGGTAAAACAGGTAGATTTTAAAAAAATAATCATAGTAGAATAATAATTTTAGGAAAACAGGTGACTTATTAGTATGTTATTCATTGACATTCAATGAGAACAAGTTCAACAATGAAGAATGAATGAATATTTGTTGGTCGTTAAATATTTGCCCATATTGATTCCCAGAGATTCCAGTTGAAATTGTAGTTGGACATTTTCTGTACAATATTTTCCAATAGAACATTTTCAATAGCTTCAATAGCTTCCTTCATATTAACAATATATTTTGATTTCAGTCAAGACTCCTATGGGAACTAGATCAAGAGAAAACCACTCATCTGCCTCAGTTCGTTGATAAAGCGTTGAAACTGTTGAATCTGAAACAAGTAGCGTTCGAAATCGAGAATTCCGTCATGTCCAAAGTTTCCTGTACTGCATGTAAAGCCGGTAAGTACACGCTTCTTACGCAGTGTCTAGAAGTGCCGAGGAGCTAATTTTTCCGAACTAACTGTCCCATTTCATCAAACACCAGATGCGTTATAAAACTTCCCTCCACGAAGCCACTATTTATAAGTTCTCCCAAACATTATCCTGACATGCTCAGTGTCCTAGCGACCATACTTCACGTGGAAATCTACGTAATTTATTCACGAGTGGAACGATTGGCAAAAACCAACTCCTCATACAAATCAAAAAAAAATCTGGGAAATTCAAGCAACTCTGGATCCACTTGACTCCCACCAAGCACCTTTCAAGTAGGTATTGAACTGCCAAAAAACCTTTCCTCATCAGGAAGACATTGAGAATTGTTCTTGGCCGCTTTGGCCAGGAATTCAGGCCACCTGAGGACGTGGTAACCGGTTTCATTGATCCAAAATTTGTCGACATCGTTTTGGATTTTGCAACACAACTACTAAAAACCTAGATTGCAGAACGAGTTTGAGATTTCTGGCAAAATCTACTAGGATGGGCTTAGGTATTTATATGAAGGTATGACCGGTATGACCATGAAGGAGCAGAAGCTCCTTCATGGTCAACTCTGATAGGGAGATGATCCTTACCAAAACATGTTCATTGTTGATTGTATTCATCAAGAGGTGAAAATATGGGCAAATGTTTCCAAAACGTCATCTACATCTTCATCTGTCACCTTGCTGTGTGGGTTAGGTGTGGGAGTTATAATGCCTAGATTGAAGACGTCCAAACCTCTTGACATCTTCCCCTTCAATATGCAAACAAGAATGCATACTGTAGAGACGTGTGTAAGGAATACTTTTGAACTATCTGTGTCACAAGAATCCATATTTTATTCAAGGTTAAGGAGCATCGAAGACTGACTGGTTACGATGGCTTTTTCCTTTTAGCGAGTAAATCAGTTACTTCCCTTATTTAACCTTAATTCGTTTTCAGGAGCTGGATTGTTACAACATTACACAAGAACAGGAAAATCAGAAAAAGAAATAAAAAAGACCATCTATCGATTTTGTGTCAACCTGAAAATACAGTCTCCAAGGGTTTGTGAAGGAATTACTGAACTATTTGCAGGCGAAGTAATTTATGTACTGAGCAAAGTGAAAATAGGTGAGTAATCAGATTGTCTAATGTTCAAATGTGATGAGAAAACAATCCGAAATAACGAAACGGTTATGTAAACAAAGACAAAGAACAGTGATATAATTAGCTATTGCCGTTTATTTTGAAAATATCATTAGTTGTAATTGACTATAATTTTCTATGGGTACCCTGCCATCTGATAACGGTAACGTTACTGTGAAATATAGAAGTACTCATAGTCGTACTCGTACTCGTGAACGGAAGGACCAATTCTGAATTAAAAAAAAAAAGATGAACAACAATTATCACTCTGTCTCATACATTTGGAAAATTTGGGCATAGAAGATAGATACGACTTGTATTCCTGAGAAAGTTCAGGAGTGGAAAAGTTTCAATCAATTGATTCATGTTAAAAGTCTGCACTTGAAAGAACGGTTACATTCCTTTATAAGGGATGATAGATTTTAAGCAAAGAATATCAGTACCAAACAGAAAATTTACGAATCGCATAACAATTTAATGCAAATAAACTTTTTTAAGGACATTTTGAAAATATACGATACATAAAAACACTGAAATCATTTATTTAAAATAGTTTAATGTGATACAGGTGCTGATGAGATATGCAGTTTTGTTATTGGAGATGCTTGCGGAGATGTATACAATCCTTACCACGAATGGGAAGTTATGTTTCCACCAGTCCCAAAGCCAAAGGTTGTAGAATCGAAGATACCGGAGGTAAGACCAATCAGTATATTGATTTCATAAACAACGATTTCCATATTATTTGTAATTCAATTGTTCAATAAATGTGACACAGACCCACTTCTAATTAAGTTTTTTGGTGAGTATCTGAAAGAAGCAAGTACTCTTATTGATCTTATTGACTCGATTGAGAGTCAATAAGATCTAGTGAATTTTTATAAATGAACATTAGACATTCATATATATAAATCGCGTAGTTTGTCCATATATTGGTGGATTTGAATACTGTTCTGCAAGTTTGGTTATAACTTAAGTTGTTGATTCCTCTTATCATTCTTTTTTGAACTATGAGGATGTTTTCGATATTTCGATTGCTATCCCAAAAAATAATTCCGTATCGAGCAACTGATTCGAAGTTAGTTGTTTTTATAGCCTCGTTGTGCAGATATTTTGATGTAACTCTAATTCCATACGATATTCCACTTAGTTTGTTTGCGAGGTTATCAATATGAGAAAATCGATTCATGTCTTTGACGATGTGGATTCCTAAAAATTTGGTGATGTGGAACAGTTCAAAAGAAGAGTTTTGAAGGTCCACCCTAACTGGATAATCAATGTTGTATTGGTTTGTTCAAAACAAAATAATATGTTTCTTCGACTCATTTAGTACAAGTTTATTTTTATTGAACCAGTCTTTAGTTTTGATGAATCTGGGAAGGTTTCACCACCTGATAACAGACTTGTGTAATCTGCGAAGATAGTTTTGAACTGATGTTCGTTTAGGTTTGGATTACATAAGTCGTTGAAATAAATGACGAATAAAAGAGGGCCGGCAATGTTCCCTTGCGGAATCCCCACGTCTGTGGGAAGGGTTTCGGATTTATAGACTTGACTTATATAAATTATTCTGAGTGTTTGAAAATTTTCAGGTAAATGCCCCCACTTTCAAAGTTCTTCATTTATCCGACACTCACTATGATCCCTATTACATGGAAGGTAGTAATGCAGATTGTGGAGAACCACTCTGTTGTCGCTTGACCAACGGACTCGCAAATACTAAAGAACAAGCTGCTGGAAAGTGAGTATATTGTGTTGATGAAGAAACAATAGTTTATTGTTAAATAACACCCTATTCAATGTTTCAGGTGGGGAGATTACAGAAAATGCGATTCACCAAAGATCACTGTTGATAACATGTTGGACCACATACAAGAGACGCATCCAGTAAGTAGACATTATAGAAATACTTGATGGTTCAATCACGAAAAAGTCAGTTTACAGAAATCATCCAAAAATGTAGAGGCAATGAAGGTTTTAAATGGTAAAGACGAAGACAGTGTTTAAAAACGAGTCGTTTGTGCTAATCAATTCGTCGGCTATTAGTCTACTGGTTATTCAGTCACACTCACTGAAGTAAAAAGATAAGACCTCGTTAATCCTTAGTTCATAAAGTATCAAATTTTGAGAAGCGGTATTTGTACCATCAACTTCTCCTCGATAAACTTTATGACATTGTAGTTCGCGGCCAAAGTCTAAAATGGATTAAGACTTATCTGACTGACAGATCACAATCTGTTAGGGTTAGGCTCAAATCTGGAATATATCATTCTGAAAATCGTAACACCTCAACTGGTGTTCCCCAAGGTAGTGTCCTGGGTCCTACTCTCTTTCTCTTATTCATCAACGACATCTATAATAATAATCAACAACATTGTTCTGTACAGTTTGCTGATGACACGTCCTTCTTATTAAGTTCCTCTTCTTGTGAAGGGTTATCTGGCCAGGCTGATATTGCAGTTGCTAATATGCTTGAATTACTGCGCCAGAAACGGCCTCGTAGTAAATAGCAATAAATCTAATACCACTGTTTTCTTGCTTAGAGAACTGGACTGCAGTATATTGGTTAGGGCTAATACTAAATCTATTATGCAAAAAAAATCAGTCAAATTCTTAGGGCTGAACATTGACTCAAAATTATCCTAAAATGATCATATCGACTCTATTTCTATTCAATTATCCAAGCATTGTTTCGTTATTTGGAATCTCAGAAATTCTGTCCCCAATAATATTTTATTAAGCTACTACTATGCCTATGTTCACTCAAGTCCAAATCATTGCTTAGTCTGCTACGGTAACTGCAGCAGATTGAATGATCTGTTGATTGTTCAAAAATAGATACTAAGAACCATGTGTTTTAAAAAATATGCTGATTCTTGTAAGCAGTTATTCACTGAATTACAATTTTCAAGTGTGATATCAATGTGTATTTTAGATTGTGTCATTAAACATTAAGAATCAGTACCATGAGTTTCAGCAAAGGGATACTATCCGCATAGCTGATGGTTATACACTTGAGCAAAATTATAATCTGATAGTTCCTGTTCACAAATCAACATCTGTAAAAAAATTTAATTAACTTCCAACATTCATTAAGAAAATTTCAAATCCCATGCATTTCAAAAATAGCGTTCAAAGTATTCTCTACAAAAAAGCCTTTTATTCACTTGATGAATATTTTCAAACTGATCTGGCTGCTTGACATTATGATTGTTTATACTATGTTTTTTTGTGTTATATACTTATCTCCTACATCTACTATTGATTTAATTTTTTAATCTATATTCCATATTTTATCACTTGATATTTTTCAACTCCAATCTTTACTGTGTATGTGACGATTTCCATGCTTGTACAAAAGTCTCAGGAGAAATAAAGTATTGTATTGTATCGTATTGTATTCTTGTTCTCGTTCTTTCTTTACATTTCAGCCTCCAATTTTTCTGATAATACCTGTATTCAGTTGAACAAACGAAACGCGATAGTTTTTATACTTGCATAAAAAAATAACTGGTGAGAGAAAGATTGGCTTATATTCTCAACCCAAACTGCCTCTCATACAGCAAGTTAATAATCCGCCCCAGCCGAAACCTGGTTATCCAGGAAATCGTGACCGTTCTGTTCGANTATTATTATTATTATTATTATATGACGTATTTACTGTTCGTGCCTCGTGAGGAAAGATGAGCAGCAGTGACCCAAGTAGTCTTAGAATGGAATTCTTCTATATCTACCAAGTGGTTGTAGGGACACGTTGATATATGTTTTTGTAATTCAAGTTATTACGACGTGAAACAAACTATAAATACTACCTCGCGAGATTATAGGTTGTCATATATATATTTTTAAATAGAGATATGACCCAGAATATCAATGTTTAATAAAAATTGATGCATTCTTCTTCTTCAACTAGATTATTGGTGCCGTCTTCCTTACCAGCGCTATTACGACCAGCACCCTTCTTACTGCTGTTAATCAATAAGAACTTCATCTGGGAGGTACGGGGGGGCTTACTTATCGCAGTACTGTACTCCTAATTGTTTTCTTTGTCCTTTTTTAATTCCATATGTCTTTTTGTACCTACATGAACTTCTGTTACTTATTTTTTTACAGTCACTACTCCGAAGTGGACATTAACACATTATCGAACTGACGACCTCGTCGTATCAGTCGACATCCAGCCTGGTTACTGGCGTAGATGGCTGCTAATCCTCTCAATATGTCTTTCACTTCGAAATTCATTCGAACTAAATTTCATTTTAAAATACACCTCTCTTTTGGACTCCACGCCAACCACGACATCCAAGTGACATTTTTGAAAACAGTCGTTATCAGCAAAACCGTCCTCTGTCGCGATCGGAGACGAAGTGTGATTGACGCGTTAACGTTCGGAAAATAGAGGCGCTTCCTTTACACCATTTTTTTGTCAATCGCAATTTTGATTTTATCTTTCCTTCTGTTTGCAATCTCTTTTTTCATTTCTGATGACACTTGACCGCATAGAGTAATTTTTTTTCATTAGAAAATTCACTTACGTTCCCTCACCTTCTTATAATCCCCAAAACGCCAATTTTCTTGTATTTGTTTTCACACAATACATAAGAGATGTAATTGGACGTCTTGAGGTTATACTCATTGTTTTTCTTGAAGAAATGTGTTTATAAGCAATTTCACAGGACATCGACTATATTCTTTGGACTGGGGACTTACCTCCGCATGATATTTGGAACCAAACCAAAGAAGAAAACCTGAATTCAAGGCAAGTTTCGAATATAAACTGAAGCTTTATATTTAATGAATAAACACCTCAGGAACCTCCGCCTATGATTTTACGAGTTTTACGACCGTTTTATGACTTGAACCCTCATTTTGTGCTATCGACAAATTATGAACGGACTATAGTTAATTGCAAGCGCATGGTTTAGGACTGGTATTTCCACCCAATTACTATTTTTGTCGTTTTGTTTAACGAACCCAGTGGATCCATATTTATCGCTTAAAGACAATAAATCATTAGGTATTGACTGTTTGAATTGAAAAAATACATGTGTATGGCTTCTTATTAATTACAATGTATTGTGAAAAACAGTTCATGGCTGTTACATCCCAATAATGCACCTGCTCACTTATGTTTGAACAGACAGCGTATAATATTTGAGAGGGACTACTTTGAAAGGAAACAAAATAGAAATTGATCAATGAATAAATATTAAAAAAAATTACTTTGTATTTTGAACAGACAGCGTATAATAGAAGAATACTAGAACAGATTTTAAACTTTCAGATATACAGTGCATTTCTTTAATGTCCCCTCCCCTTTTATTTTTTAGACGCGTCAACTCAAAAAATTAAAATTTGGGATAATGCAAATAATGCCCGAATACTTAATTTTGAAGTGAAATTGAGAGATGAAACTTTCAAGATGGCGACTGGGCCCATCTGGGAAAAAAATTAAATGGAAAGGGGGGTTTGTGACACATCATTTTGAAGCTCCTGACGAATACTTCACAATCCTAGAATATGAAGTCAATATCTTCACCTACTACAAAATAGCGGAACATTTAATAATTTCCTGAAGACAAACACATTAAGAAATATTCTTTTTTATCTGCCATAAGGCATTTCCAACAATTCGATAAGGTTTTTTGAGTTATTTTGTGTTTATAAAAACGAGAAAAATGTCAGTACGACAATGAACAATTGTTCAGTTAGAATATTCTCATTTAGTTTTCGGTTGTACTAGTAGAAAGGTACCACGTCAACAATCTCTAAAATGATCAATTCTCGTCCACTGGAAGAAAAAATCGAATCTTAATGAATTCGATATGGATATTGTATTCCAACAAGATTGATCACCATCACATTACTCCAGACTATTTGGATACTACTTTTCACGGTCGTTGGATTGACCTTCGAGGTCCTACAGAATGGCCAGCCCGCTCGCCAGATTTGACACTTTTGGACTTTTTTATGGGGCTAACTGAAGCAAAATGTGTACGAAACTGAACCTGCTTCAATATTGGATATACAGCAGATAATAATAAATATTTGTAGAGATATTAACGTTACTGTGTTCGAAAATGTTCGGCGTGAACTATCGGATAGGCTGTTCGTATGTCAAGAAGTTCGAGTTAAGCATTTCGAGCATCTTCTGTCAATGTATTCAGGCAATTATTAAAAGTTCCGCCATTTCGTAGTAGTTCAAGATATTGATATTATATTCTAAGGTTGTGAAGCATTTGTCAGGAGCTTCAAAAATATGTGTCACAAGACCCCCTTTCCATTTAATTTTTTCCAAGATGGCGCCCAGTCCCCATCTTGAAAGTTTCATCTGTTAATTTCATTATCTCTCAGGTATCGAGGAGATAGCTGAAAGTAATGGGTATTCTACAAACGTAGTGGATAAGTCAATTAGGAAGAGAAGCGAATATTCATTCTACAAAAACAATGTTTGAGAAAAATTTTCAATCTACCTAGAACAGAGAGTTGCAGGGAAATATTTACTGAAAAGAGAATTCTTACTCTTACAAGTATGTATGTGTATGAATGTGTTATTTTTGTTAAAGAAAACATGTCATTATTTGAAATTTTTGATCGGAATCACTCTCAATACTATGCCATTATTAGTCGGTATGAATCGACTATCACAGCTCAATTTTTTGGCCATACACATTACGACGAGTTTGAAGTTTTTTATGATCACAAGGATTTAGGTGAGTATGACCTGGTATTTTCAACATCTGAAGAATTCAACATCTAAGATTTCCTGTTCGAGATGAAAATAGGGAGCTTAAAATACACTGAAACATCAAACCACAATCATTGAGCAAGTAAACTCTCTCTCCATTAAGAGAGTCATAGTTACGACCGCACCGGGGGGCCGGTTAGGCCCCCCAGACGCACCCTGGCGTTGGATGCGATCGGGTGTGGAGGGGTGGATTTTCGGGAAATCCTTGCGGGTACCGCCCCTCACCCCACACCAACAGGATTTCGCAGGGCTTCCTCCCGCTCACCGAACCCGGAATTGCTTCCTTACATCTACTTAGTGTGGCTAACCAAGAGACAGGACCATCGGCAGCGTTCGACCGAACGTTCGTACAAGTTAACTAAGCTCTTCTTTC